TTGTAGTTTCTAATTGCAAAATGTAGTCCAATTTGTTCGAGATGACTCAGAAAATCGGTATTGAGTTTTCGACGAATTTCTCACTCGCTCTCATTTGGACTTTTTGCAACGAAGAATTAATATCTCAGGCTTATGCATTGAAGCACCTATCTGCCCAGGGCATCTAATGACTCAGATTTTTTTTTTCCTTAAATGAGCCAAAAATAGCAGCAGAAAAGTAGCTTATTTTAAAGTTTTGGTCCATGTATCTCGATGATTAAGGTGATCTCGAGCTGAGCTATGTCGGTATTGCGAACAAAGTTACCTGATATACTCCGTCATATTTGCGCGAAACTCCAAAAGAAAATAATTTATGATGCGAGCATTTAAAGTGATGCAAAAAGAAGTCAGATGGATGAAATCAGATAGAGAGTCAAAAACGAGTGGCATGTGATCGTGTGAATAAGCATATCTCCTAGGGGATACTGCATTTTGCATTGAAAGACCTATAGTTAATCATAGATTTGTCATAGAGCGTGGCATTTATGTAGTTCACAAGACGAAGAACCGGCATGTTATTATCAGTGAAAGCTTGTAGAGATGAACTGACTGTGTGTTGTGTACCTGCCCCTCTTTTTAGCATCGGTCTAATGCGAGAAAAATGACTGGCTCTCAAGGAGTTGTCAAATCTACCGAGCCTGGTGTAAAATTCAAAATCGTAGTGTTGTTTAAAGTGCAGTACAACGGTAGCCTTCGTGAAATCGCAAAATGTTCCGGCGGATTGTCCAGCAAATTATCCAACACTCAAATGAAATGTTCATTTTTAAAATTGTGAGAGTTTATGTTTAAATGGATGTTTTTTTATTATTTTCATATTTTCGGTTTCCTGCAGATGGGAATAAGACGTCTATTCGAAAACTAAGCGATGATTTGATTAAAACAAGATTGAGTGGTAAGTCTTCCGTTCCATGCACGTTTAAAATGATCAGTTCAGTAGACTGCACAGTAGGCACTTAAAATTGCCGCATTCATTTGAATGCTCAATAGAACGCATAGCAGTGCTTATATGCAACGTGTGTTATCTTTATATGAGTTTGAGGATTTGGCATTTCCTCGGTCGAATACTTTGTTTCTACAAGTACCCGATTTCGGACCAAGAATAGGGTGTCTACAAGTCCGGAATTTCTGGAAAGTCCAAAAATAGTACTGCTTTGTTAAGGGCGGTCCGGAAGCACTGAAAAAGTGCGGAAATTCCGCAAAAAGGTCCGGAATTTTTTAAATTTTTCGTCATTTTTGTCGCAATTTCAAATTTTTGAAATTTTTCTAATTTCGTCAAATGGAGGTACTGAAAAATCACGGAATGTTTCTGTTGGAAGAGGTACTGCAAAAGTACTGTAAAATTACTTATTTTTGACCAGCCTGTTTTAGTAGACACCCCGAAGAATCCCCCAAAAAGAAGAAATTGAATTCAGCCGTTAATTCTCGACATCCAATTGACAAGCAGCATCAACAATTTCTCGTGAAAAGCATTTTCTCAGGGGCCGTCCATAAATTACATCACCCAAGTAAGGAGAGGAGGGTCTAGCGTTGGGTGACAGGGAGGAGGAGGGGTTCAAGCCAAGGATGACATATCGACGGTGAAACTACCAAACCACGTATCTCGGTTTGCGACGTCGCAGACTTCCTGTTATACTTCATTTTTTAAATGAAAAACTACTTAACGTCCAGTCTTGAAAATTTCTGTGATTTTTCCTCCTCGTGCGGAAAAAATTCTGTGAAAATTCCAAGGAATGATATTGATTTGGTCTACTTCAAAAAAATAAAATGCGAGCGTAGATTTTTAAACACCGCAAACGAGATACGTGGTTTGGTAGTTTCACCGTCGATATAAGCTTTCCTGAAGGCAAAAAGGCTGAAAGTCTTGCTTGACTTTCATCCATTTCCTGCGTTTTCCCCCAAAAAGGAATTGAAAATATAAAAATACTCAACAAAAGGAATTTTACAATGTTCTTAACGCTACCGACTATTTTTACTGATTTTGATCGATTTCCTGCGTTTTCTTTCCGAAAGGGAGGGGGAGTACGCTAAGGATGACGTAATTTTTAGAGGGACTAGCAGTGGATGATAGTTGGTAATGATGAGAGGGGGGGGGGTCGAAAAATTGAAAAAATGGGTGAACTATTTTATGGCGGTCCCTTACCCACCACCTTTGAAAAGTCTCGACATTCATGTTCAATAACCCTGAAAAAAATCAGTTTATTTCGAAATCCAACAGAACTAGTCACTCTTCATGAGCTATAAGATCCCAGGAAACGTGACTGTATTATGAGCTGAAAAAGCCCAAGCACTCCTTAACTTCAGAGACGAGCGTCAACTCACAGAAGGAGTGATACAGTTTCTGCGGCGGCTACGGAACGCGTTGATGGAAGACTATCAGTTCCTTTGGGCTTGGAGCCAGCTTTTGATCGTGATAAAAGGGCTTTTTATTGGACGATGGCAAATGAATAGTCCCGGTATCCTCTAATGGACTTTTCTCATCAGATCGGTCATCCGAGCCCGTGTTAACGCGGACACTAATTGATCGTTAGGTATTGATTCCGATTCTCGCGCCTTGGATCGGGTTTTTCGTGATCGACCTCAACTCAGCTGCAATTATTCCTCGTTCGTTGCTCTCAATTATCCTTCCAGTTTTCCATTGAAACGTTCAGATTTGACGTAGAAGGGTTAAAGGTGATTCGATGGACGCTGCATTTTGTGTCAAAACGACATGCGATAAAATCGTATCGATTAGTTCCATTTTCTCGGCTACTTGTCATTTTTTTCGAATTTTGAGATCGCAATTCTGTTGTCAGGAGACTAAGGAATTCACTTACCAATTTTGACAAACCAATTCAACGTAATGTAGGCGTTGTTTTTTTAGAGGGAAAATATTGCGTTCGAGTGCAGTTTCGACATCAGTATCGAGTGAGATATTTTTTCTCTAAAGAAACCGCGCCTTTATTAAGTTGAATTTGTTTGTCAAAATTGGTAAGTAAATTCCTTAGTCTCCTAACAACAGTATTGCGATCTCAAAATTCGAAAAAAAATGACAAGTAGCTGAGAAAATGAAACGAATCCATGCGATGTATCGCACGTCGCTCTGACACGTCTTTTGTCATTCCTGGCTGAATAACGAAAATAATCGGTAAAAATATAGCTTGAGCTGCTTGACAAAATTAAATTCGCTGAAAACCAGTATAGTAGGAAGTTTTGTTCGGAGATTAGGGACAATTCAGGAAAAGTCTAAGATTGAGGAAAATTCGGAGTCAGGGAAAGCGATTGAAGTTAGGGAACTCATGAAAAATAAAAGAAACTATGGAAAACCTGCATCCCACTCGAAGAGCTCGAACAAATTCTTCCCCCATGATATTCTCACGAAAGTCTCATATTCCTGACTTTCCGATCATCGCCTGGAGTATTTCAAAGATCGCAGACAACCTTGGTACCGGGCCCGGTCGCTCGACCATGTCTGGTGTTTTCTTTCAGGGTCTGATCGCTGAATGGTCTCGGCAGGCTTCCATCCGGCCGTGTCCCGCAAATTTATTTATCGATCCGAATGAATTGGCTAATCGAGACTACTTCAATGATCCCAACTTCAGAAAAGGAATATCAGGAGTTCAATCAGGTCTAAGCATAATGCCCGCACTGGTATCGCCGGGACAGCTCACAGCCCGCACGCAACTAGGCGGGCTCCATCTATTATATCCACCTATCGTTTTGTGCACCCATGTCATTCGGGGATAATTTATCACAGTTACGCTTCCACGCAGCCTTATGTTGATTTTTCTCTAATCAGCCTCATTACCAAGCTCAAAGACTTGTGCGGGGACGTTATTATGACGTCGAACGCAAATGCGCTGGCGCCATAGCTTCATTCCAGCGGGATGATTATTGAAATTGATAGAAAAATTGATAGACAAGGAAGACACAGGGAGTATGCAGCGGTTCTATTGGTTGAGATGGGTGGTTCGTATAGACTAAGAGAGAAAATGATGGACTAACTGTAGGGTCTCTCGTCGCGTCGGTTGCCGTTAGTTAGTCTATTATCTACCTCCTTTGTCCATTGCAATCACCCGCTTCCACCAATAGGATGCCTCCATATCTCTATTGTCTTCTTTGTCTATAGCTTCGTCTATCAATTTCAATACTTAATCAGGCCGCAGCGGGATGATTATTGAAATTAATACGCGAAGTTTTAGACTAAGAAGACAAAAGGAAATAGAGCTATCTTATTGGTTGAAATGGGTGATTTTTATGGAATAAAGGAGAAAATAATGACTGACTAATCGTAGGATCTATCAGGGGTTTGCTTTCACCAATAGAACCGCTCCGTATTCTCTTCGTCTTCTTTGTCTATCGCTTTGTCTATCAATTTTAATAATCAGCCCGCTGGACTTTCGAAATTTTATCGAGTGATCCGGATCGCTAAATTATGTAGCATCCCGAAAATAGAAGTTTATTGATCAAGATACTTCGTACACGATTCAACATTCTACCCTCAGCAAAGTTGCAATTTTCAAACTGGGACCCAACGCAACGTTTCTTGCCACTTATCGACGATTTGAAACTGCAGAAACGTGTATCTCGGTTTTTACTTCTTTTTTTTAAAAAATATAAAACTACTCAATGTCATCTCTTGAAAACTGCAGTGATTTTTCTGCTTTGCGTGAAAAATATTCTGTAAAAATTTCAAGCCATGATGTTGGCTCGGCCTCCATTAAAAAAATAAAACAGGAACGAAAATTTTGTAACATCCCAATCGACATACACGATTTTGCAGTTTCATCATCGTCATTGTGGCTTTTGCATATTTCTGTGAAGCCTGTATTCCACTGCATTATACCCGCATTCACTCAAGTTATGATTTTTTGCCGCATTTTGCATTATCTTGCATTGATTTTTAAATGTTTCGTGTGTAATTTGTATGCTTTGGTATGCGCTTTTCTAAGTTTCGTTCTTTTCTCCCGTATTTTTTTATACAGGGTCGATCGACGAAAACGATGAATTCGTTGCACCGCTCTCTATCAACAGAAGGAGAAGTTCCGAACGTCGATTTTCAAGTGAGTTCTCACCCTATCCCGTCATGAACCTGTCCAAAATTTACTTTTATTTTCCGTCTTTATTTACAGTTTCAGTTTTTTATTTTAATTTTTCGCATTCCCTCTTCAAAACTTGATTGTTCTGTCCCTCTTACCTGCCCATTTGAAATTCAAAGCAGAGCGCTACAATTTTTTAGGCGATGTTATCGTCATCAAAGACTATTTACATGTATCCGAAATAATTAGAGCCCTTGAGCGCTTAATTCTCTGGTCTATGGTTTAAGGACAAGAGTGCGCCTAAAAGTTGTTTTGTTTAGTGATCTGAGAGGATTCCAACCAACTTATGTATGCCATTTTACTGTCCTGTCATTGGAAACCACGTTTTCATTGACCTTACTTCTTAGAAGTTCAAGTCTCACTTTTTCAGAGAAAGTTTCCCCCAACTGTTGCTCTGCTCTTCATATCATTATATCGAGTGCATTTATGACCCATTGTAAGAAGGAAATTTTTGTTCCTCTTATTATGCTTATATTTTATTATTTGTCTTTTCTTTTGTGTCCTTGCACAGGGATTGCCAACGTGCAATTGAAAATATCTTCTGTTTTAAGTTCTTTTGCATGCCTCGTTATTTTTCCCATATCCTGTTACGTTCTACCTTGTTATTCTTTCTTTTCCTAACCCAATCCATTCCTTTAACGAACTGCTAGGAATGAATACCAAATCTGTATTCGATAATTGGAGCTAAATACCTGCCGTATAATGTTGAATACTTTAGGAAATGGAGGGACACATTTCTTAAAATGGGATTCATATAATGAAGAAGAACGATTTTTATAAGGATCACAGTAGAATGGAAGTAAAATTCTAAAGAATTTCCTAAGACGATGGTAGAAAACGGAGCATTCGAGCTTGGACTTAAAGTTCATCACTGAGTTTCTGCCCCTCCTTTCCACCCGCTAGCTGTGCTCCCATCTTCAACCCTTCTTCCCCTATGCTGCCGTGCTAAGGAAGAACGCCGTATGAACATTCGAGAGTTGCCAAATTTCCCTTAATAACACCTGTATTTTTTACAAATTTTATGCATATTTTTCTTTGAAATTTTCAGGTATTTTAAATTAAACTGTGCACAAAATTGTCTGAAAATTTGAGAAAATAATATCCACAATCTTCCCAGTACTTTCGGTTTTTATCGGAGGAAACTTAGCAACGTCTGAAGGCTCATACGGGGTTTTTCTGAGCATGGCAGTCTGTCTCTCTGTTTCCCGGTCGAATCTTCTCCAGATCCTGTGGCTTGAGGCACCCCTCGAACCTGGTTTTTATGTTTTGTATGCTTGTTTATCGTGTTGCTTATGCCGTTTCTTGCGAGCACATTGTAGCTTTACGATTTTTGCATGCCAGATGCTGGATCGGATTCGGGTTGGGCCGATGCACGGCGCCTCAGCGAGGCCGGCGTTCGACGAACCTCCGGTAAGCTTAGCTCTATTTTCTTCCTCCTTTCTTTTGTCTCTCTCACAATTTACACTGGGAAAATTCACAAAGACTTCGCCCGTCGTAGGGTTGCCACAGTTTAGAAAAATGACGTAAATGTCAGGAAAAACGACGAAAATGTCAGGGAAAACCGGGAAATGTCAGGGAAAATGGCGAAAATGTCAGGGATTTGTTGAATCACCTTCATTTGCTTTTTAGAATGGTTTCGAGGTTTCGAACAAATTTTTTCCTAAAAACTATTTTCAAGTATGCCTTCTTAACCATCCGTCACATCTTCAATGGACCACTAGACAAGGTATGAATTTAAGCAATCTGATACATGTTTTTTAACCAGAATTTCACGTAGAAAACGATTCAAACAACGAAAATTTTTGAAACTAGCTCCTAACGAAGATATTAACGTGTTTATTTCACATTGGTTGCGAGGAATTTGAACTGCCCGCTCACAAGAAACTCAAAGCTCTGTACGTGAGTCAAATCGCGCACTACAACGGTTTCAGCTAGCTTCTCAATCGAGCAATGTTCATTTCCCACCATGTGTTCTTCAAACTATTAGCAATTTTCTATAGCTGAGCCAAAGCGTCAAGATTGAGGTTGCCAGTTTTTTTTATATCGCAGAGACTGTCATGATAACGTTTAGCGCGCGATGTGAATCACATAGAGCATTGAGTTTTCATGAGCGGGTGGTTTGAATTCACGCATCAAGAATCATTAAATATCTTCGTAAGGAGTTAATTGCGGTAATTTTTGTTGTGCGCATCGTGTTCTACGTGAAATTTTGGTCACGAAACATGTATCAGAATGCTGAAATTTGTACCCTGTTTAGTGGTCCATTGTCCGGGAACTCCACCAAAATGTGTCAGGGAAATCAGGAAAATGTCAGGGAATTTCATTTTCTAAATGCTGTGGCAACTCTGCCATCGAAAGCTTTCACCAATTAAGCTCATGAAACACTTCACCCAGAAATTCAGAATCTTAGACCTCCCGCCCCCTTTCACCCTTATTTGTAATGCTGCGTAGATACGAATGGAGAATTCGCACGCAAAATTTTTATTGCTTCATCTGATAGTGGCTAAAGAGTTGATTTCGCAATATTTTTCATCAAGCTTACAGCGCCGACATTGCAAACCCCCTCCCCCCGCCTGGAAGAAATTCTTGATCGTAGACTCCTACTTCCCTCCAATGTACGAAACATTTCTGACTATGGCACTGCCGCCCCTTCATATGCATTTGCATTCAGCCTTTAATCGGATCGTTGAATTATTGAAAGTATAATACCTACCAGTAATAGTAAGCTCTTTAGATCTATGTTATTTATTAATAAAAGGGCGTTTTTAAAATAATCGTCTTTTACAAAATTATGTCTTATGTGTAAGCATGGATGTATATTTTCTGTTTGTTTTTTTCCTTCTGGGTTTTCTTGCGTACCTATCTCCATGTACCATTTGCGGATAAGTTTGTGGTACTCTTTACAGTCTATATAGGTAAATCAACCAAAGTTCTCGGCTACAGAGTCTTCCAACTATTTTTACTAGTCTCCTAGTTCGTTACGAGGCTTATTTTCTGTAATCGTTTACTGTTGGTTGCGCCAATCTTATTGGTTGCAAAATGCCTGTATTGCTTGGTTTCATGTCTTTCTATGCGGTTTTCATAATTTGGTGTTATCTTGAAATGTTTTTTCTGAGCTATTACCCATATCTTATGTCAAATATATTAAACCGTTATCCACAAGTGTCTATGAAAATCTGCTGAACTACTTAGATTGAAAGCAATGATTCAAAAAATACCATTACTAAGTTAAGTCCATGCATGTGTGTCTATATGTAGTTCTAATTCTAAAACTACTCGTTCAAGAAAAAGAAGTATTCATTAAAAGGTAAGCTCCGTAGTACATGCATTTTTTCATCAAAGAGAATAGAACATATTTTTGCTAAGGTATGGATGACAAAATGATAGCAGAGACAAACCTCTATAAGGATAAATTGAAAGAGTAAGTTTTCAGAAAGGTATAAACACCATCGTTCCTGAGAATATTCGGCAACAACACATAATAGAAGGCAAGGAATAAGTGAATTGTCGCAAATTAGCGTTTAAATTGAATAATATGCAAAAAATCATTGGTATACATGAAATAATCGTCAACTTGATATGATTTGTTTTTTCCCAGACTTTTTATCCTTTCTTGATTAAATGTAATTTTTGTAAGCATTTCGTTTGTTCAATCAAACTAGAGAATATTTGCAGTTGTGTTCACCGCTGCATTGGATCAAACATTTTATGTGACGCTTCTCGTCAAAAATGAACAAGTCGCAAGCAATAAGCAATCGCCTGATCTGTAATTATGATGTACTTATGTTGAATAAAAACATGTATACATTTAAAAAAGAGAGACCAAATATAAAGAACTGATCATTATGTTTGGAATTAAAACATAGGTTTTTCCTCATTGAATGCATGATACCAGCTAGCATAATTGCGAGTGCGTGTTGTGAAATCGGCGACCTGAGTTGGGTTTGGTTCGGTCACGCAACTAAACTAACTTCTCGGTAAAGCGGAGGGTATCGCCGGGATTTGAAGGCGCTTCAAGCTGACACGAGATCGTGTCTACCAATGAAACCTTTTTTTATGTCGATGCGTATTATTAATACGCACATATCGCTCGAAAATTGACGGCAATTGCTGACTGTCTGCGAAATTCAGAATGTTCTCAGTAAATACAAAGAACTGTTCTTTGCACATTTTTACATGACTATTTGTTTTTATTCTTAGCAAAAAAATTTCCTCGTGAAATCCTAGTCTGCTTTCTTTCTGTACCTCAAATTTAAGGAGGCTATTAAGTCTGTCAAGTTAATGATCGGCGAGTGCCTATAATCATTACACTCACGAGTATTTAAGTAGTTCTGTTTTTTTTTTTTTAAATTTAATTTATCTATTAAGTTGGTTAAATTTACACGGAAACATAATTATTCAAGATACATGCAGATGTCCATGCTTAATTAGGTAAAGAAACTTAACTTAATGAAACCCCGGGACTGCCGGAGGGCATTCAGCAGTTGTGTGCACATGTTATTTTTTCAAAAGTGTACCGTATGCAGGAGAAATTGAGTAATTTTTCTCTCTTTTACAGATGCCAGTGTCGTTCTCACTGAAGACACAGATAGCTTCATCATCGGAGACCGAGTCTGGGTTGGAGGAGCTAAACCTGGACAAATTGCTTACATCGGTGAGACTCAGTTCGGGCCCGGAGAGTGGGCTGGCATCGTACTCGATGAACCCATCGGTAAGTTCGACGCAAGGACACGTGTCTCTACCACATTATGTCATCCTTAAAATACCTGACCCTATCACAATAAAAATGCCAATAAAATGCATTCAGTGGCGTGACGTGCTTTGCGATTTATCGATTGACCAGTCGTTTAAACTATGAAAAAGGATCGATTATCAAGGTGTTTGTAACGAACACCTTAATAATCGATTCTTTACTACAGCTTCAGAAGGAGAAATATCGATAATCGATCATTCACGCCACGCCACTGAATGATGCATTGTTTGTAATAGGAGATGATCCGTCGTTTCCCGCACGAGGAAACGAAGTTCGTCTAAGAAACGTAATTGCATTTCAATGTTGCCAGATTTTTTCGCGCTAATTACATTTTCACGAGGAGAGTTTTGAGAATTTTTGACTGAAAATTTCACCAATTTTTCTTCGGCTGATCTAATGTAAAAATCAGATTTTTAAGCGAAAATAATACAGGTTTTTTCTCCCAAGAAATTAAACCGATTAAGTAAATTTTGCAACCGTGGAATAAAGTTACGTTCCTTCTTGCGGGAACCGACGAATTTGGGGGGGGGGGGGTGGAATTGACACCAAGCTTTGGCGGGATCACCAATTTTGCTCTGTTGCTTGCAAATATCTTTCTGCCTATTATACTTAAGGGTTGAAAGGAAGTACATATCTGTACCGATCAAGTACAGTGATTTCCTTGTCTCGGTATATATTCACAAAAATGATTCAAGCAACTTACAGTGCGCTTTTTTCTACTCTTTGATGCTTCCTCCCCTTGTAGAGAGACTGTATTAGAAAATTTTGCGCCCAGGGCTGCTGGATGTTCTTTAACCAATGAACGATCGGTCGTCAGTAAGCTGCGGAAGCAGTGAGAAAATTGCGTAGGCTACAACCTTGAATAATGGATGATGTAAAATTTATTACGTTTTGGAAATGCGCTCCATTTTTGCGTACACCTTCCGAAGGTGTGTACGCGTACTGCCTTATCACGCACTTCCAAATAGCATGTGCGCCTCGGAACTTAACGCGATTCGCGAGTCAGGAGCTAAGAACAAGACCTGAGTAGAAAAGTTAAATGGGGTGATACAACTATTTCGACTTCCTAGCAGGTAAAATTGCATATCGACGAAACAAAAGAGACCTTGAACTCCATTCGGCTGACTCAGAGACGTTAACGCATGAGTAGAAAAGTTGGATGGAGTGATACAACTATTTCGACTTCCTAGCAGGTAAAATTGCATATCAACGAAATGAAGGATAACTTGAACTCCTTTCGGCTGACTCAGAGACGTAAACGTTTGAGTAGAAAAGTTGGATGAGGTGATACAACTATTTCGACTTCCTAGCAGGTGAAATTACGTATCAACGAAATGAAGGAGAGCATGAACTCTTTTCAGCTGACTCAAAGACTTTAACGCATGAGTGGAAAAGTTGGACGGGACGGAACGTGTGATACAACTATTTCGACTTCCAAGAAGGTAAAATTGTACATCAACGAATCGAAGGAGAACTTGAACTCCTTTCGGCTGACTCAGAGACTTTAAGGCTTGAGTAGAAAAGTTGAGTGGGGTGAAACACGTTATAAAACTCTTTCGTTTTTCAAGTATACAACTTTGCGATTCCACAAAATGAAGGGAAACATAGTGTTCTTCATCATCCCAATTACTCAATTCGTCAAACCTAACTTTCAGTTCATGTGACCGAACGCTCAGTGCGTACAACCGAATTTATGAGGATTTGATGAAAGAACTTGGGTTACATGAATCAAACATTCGGTGAAACGAATAAAAAAAATTGGTTTTATTCTGAAGAGTTAAAGCTCAACTTAATTGAGGGGGTTGGAGGACAAGACATATAAGTGCAGTTTTTGTTATCTGGAGAAATTCGTGTTTGAAGTTTCGAAATTACATGGATTCTTGTGGCGGAAAGAAAATTCAGACTGACTTTTTGATGCTTAAAAATTGGAGTTTGGGAGCGAATTTTTCACTGAATATGCACTTGCGCCAACAACAAACTACTTGTTTCTGTACAAATTAAAAATTTTCAAAAACCAATTATACCTAGATGACTTACTTTTTTATTATTCTTTACGCACAATGGCCATTTCGGGTAGGCCGCCTATCTTCAGGTCATCTTCAAAAGTAAGTCATCTAAGTAAAATCAGTTTTTGAAAATGTTTTAATGTGTATAGAAAAAAGTGTTCATAGTGCCGATAAAGTGTCAGAAAAATTGTGCAGTATGCTACAACATAACAATAAACTAGTATTACTTGAAATCATTAATATCTCAATTTGTTCAAAAACTTTACTTATGCGCCTTATTCTCCAAGCCCCTCAATTAATGTTTGGACAGCATTTAAATGAAATTCACGATCTTTTAACTTTTGATTTTTCCAGGTAAGAATGATGGATCCGTTGCTGGAGTTCGCTATTTCCAGTGTGAACCAAAGAAAGGGGTGTTTTCTCGGCTTACTCGCCTGACAAAACACAGCTTAGACTCAGGCACATTGACTGGTCTACTCACCGGAACAGCAGATGCTAGAAAATCGTCGATTTCCACGCCTCAACCACGCAAATACTCAGCTGCATCCACCCCTTCCATGGTTTCACCCACATCCAGCGTCAAAAGTTACTCCCTTACCACACCCAGTCGCAAAGCCAGTAAGTTTTTGTTCTTCTAATTTTGTTTTAATTCTATTAAATTCTAATCATATCTTAAAAGAGAGAGAATATTTTTTTCTGCAGTATTTGGCACCAAACAATCTTCCTAAGAGAGGAAAATAGTCCCGGCCATATTTGATTTTCATTTGTACAATGAAATGCTTTTTTGGCCTTCAAGAATCTTTGTCCTAGCTTTTCCTGTGGGAGCACAAGCAAAATAATACCCTGCTACCACATCAGACTCTTATAAAATGAAGGTATTTCTGAATATTATTCAGACATAATGAGCCTAACAATCTCAGATGTTGTCTAGTTTTCTCTAATATTTTATTTTTTGAACAGGAAACTAAACAAACTGAAAATTGAAAGTTTTGGAGTACACTTTTCATAATTTAAGGTAAATTCCTAGAAATTTTGGAGGCGTGAGGGAGTTTAGCACTTTTTTAAAAAAATAAAAAAGAAGAGAAAATTTAGCTAAATGAAATTGCATTAATTCTGATTCCAATTAAATGTGTCAAATTGTCAATCCCTTTGTGTATTCACATAGAAGAATTGAGAACTTTGTCTCTTTTCTAATGGAGGTTTTAATTCTTGCAAAATATTCTTTCAAGGTTCAGGCGAACTGAAAGTCGGAGACCGTGTCATCGTCTCAAGCAATCAAGGCAGCAAAGCTGGAATCCTCAGGTACAAGGGTCCTGTAGATTTCCAGCCTGGTGAATGGTGCGGAGTGGAATTGGATGAGCCCATGGGCAAAAACGATGGCTCAGTGGCCGGTAGAAGGTTGGTGAACTTTTAAAACTTTTAGAAATCCTTAAATTCCAAATCCAGTTATGAACGAATTGAAAATTTCTAGTCTCATTTCTTAAATAATGAGGAATAAGTTCTTTTAATATTTGCAATCTAGGACTTCCCATTTGCCAAGAAACCAATAAATATTTAAATCAAATTGGGCAAATTTGAGCAAATTTTAGTTTGCTGAATTCATTTTTACAAATAAAAAAAAAAAACTCTTTATTATGGAAAGAGGAACATTTTTGTGAAACCTAAATCCAGTTGTCTGCCGAACGATAATTTTTTCTTTCAACGGCTGATTTGACTCGTGTTGATTTGGTTTTTTTAATGAGCAGAAAGTTTGAATGGATCAATTATGAGCAAACAAAATAGTCTATTTTTGATAAGAAGCAATTTTTTTAAAATTTTTCACTCTGAATAATTAACTCTTTATAATAACACAAACTCTAAATATTGAACACTTTAAAGTGCCAAAATGTATTTCCCATAACCAAAAAAAAAATGCCCTGTTGTTGTATCTCCATATCTTATTTTTCTACTTCATTCCTTTGCAGGTACTTTGAGTGTGCTCCAAATTTTGGCCTTTTCGCCCAATCTTCAAAAGTGAGTCGATCCCCTATTGGAGCCAATAGACGGCCATCCTGCGCTGTGCACAACAGTGCCATAAAAAGATCTGGTTCTCGCGAATCTCTCCAATCCTCTTTTAGTACATCCACCGCTGCCTCTGGTATTCCAACAATGAGGGTAAGCCAAGTCAAATCGTGCCAGTCTTTCATATTTCAGTCCAAGTAAATCTTGCCCAATTATGGTGACTTTCTAAATTGATTCCCGGGCGTCTGAGCATTGAAAGACAGCTTTCTCAGAAGTTTTTTTCTGAACTGATGAAACTCTGGAGGTTATCAAAGTTTGAATCGATGTTTGCTCCTCTGATTCAGAGAATGTTTTGTTTTACCATCTTAAATGGGCCTGTTGCAAACTTTTGCCAGAGCAAAAATAAGAGTTGTTTCCATGTAGATAATGCCTCAAAATTCATATGAGCGCATTGGCAAAGTCTGAAATGCACTCATAAATTCTCAATCTGCGCAAGAAATTTGCGTTTTTTTGAGCTTCCCGCTTCAAGAACGATACCATGGCACTGGTGAACATTTTGTTAGAGGAGTCTCTCAATAGAGGAATCGGCAATATGCATCATGGCCAGCGCCTCCGCAGTTCCGAGCGTAATTCGAAGTGAGTTCAAGGTTAATCAAGGCAGGCAAGGAAACTATGTACGTAAACATGCCGATTGTTATCTGATTTTATCCTGGTCAGTTGTTATTTTGTCCCATCACACATATTTTGGCAGATTGCCGTCGGTCATGATGAATATTGCTGACAATGGAATGACTCCTCTAACAAAATGTTCACCTGTGCCGTAGTATCGTTTTTGAAGCAGGAAGCTCATAAAACCGCAAATTTCTTACACAGATTGAGAAGTTATGAGTGCATTTCAGACTTTGCTGATGCGCTCATCGTGATTTTTTAGGCATTATCTATAAGAGATAATTCTTAGTTTTGCTCTAGCAAAAGTTTGCAACAGGCCCATTGCAACGTTACTGTTTTTTTTCTTCAATAGGGAACAGTAGATTATAATGAAATGTTCAGATATGATATTTCTCCTGGGATCTTGTCCTTTTAAATTCAAACAGTTCATTGCATGTCATAGATAATTATTTTTTATTTTAGAGTATTACTAGTCGCTCACTTCAATTTGCACTTAAAATTTTGATGGGATTCTTCTAATTTTTGTATATATATCAGTACCCCAGAGTCAAAAGGTACCTAACTCCATTTTAGTCCTTCCGAGGTATCAGGGAAAAACCTTGCATCCCTGCGTCCTTGCATTGATTCTGATGTAAATTGCAATTTTTTAAATCCTGTATCTCACAACCGGCCTTAGATAGGGCTACCAAATTTTCCACAAACACAGAACCGTTATTAGAGATTTCTAAAAGGACGCTAACTCGATTTTTTCAAAAATGTGAGTTAGGTACTTTTTGGCCCTGGGGTACTGATATTATCAATGTTGAAATTTTTTCTTAAAATTCCTAATCGAAAAACATCATTTTAAAAAGCATCTCTCTTTGTTTTTTGGCAATTTTTATCATGTAGAAGAATTTGCTGTTCTGAGCTGTAAAATGAATTTAAGTAATATGAATCCACCTATAAAAATAGTTTTAAGATGCAATGTATGGTGAAGCCATCAAGTAGAAAACGGAGTACTCTAATTTTGTGTTCAAGGAGATTCTTCTTCTCTTTGAAATCCAATCAAGTGAGTTCATTTTTAGGTCCTAAAGTTTTTCTCTGCTTAAATTTTTTTAGAAACCTGCAATTCGAGCGTCTGTACCGGCAACACCATCGAGGACACCTCTGCAGGTAATGATTCTTTCAACATTGACTCGTCAGTTTTCTCCTCAAATTTTTTTCTTCTTATTTTCAGTTGTACAAATGATGAATTTGAGCCTTTGGGAAGTAGTCAGGTAAACATTCATTCCTAGATATCTTAAATAATGTTGCAAATGTTCATGTTTCTACAAGGAGAGAGTGTTTCTGTTCCAAAAACAAAGCAATCAACCTCAAATACCTTTCCAAAAGTCATCTAAAATGAACTGCAGGGACATCAAATGCAGTAGAATGCTGCAATTGAGAAATATTACATTCTAAGGAAAACGTCATAGGGAAACTGCAACAATCAATTATCAATTAAACAACTATTCCTACTGCAACAAATAAAAGTCTACATCATGTCTCCCTAAAAATTTTGTCTCCTAACTCTTAACCATAATCCTCGTGGACGCGTGAAATTAGAATTGAAAACCAAGAGTAGAACGATAATAATTTCACTACGATAGTGTTTTACCTCTTGTTTCATGCAGAGAATGGCTTTATGTCATCAGCATATATACTTCACGGATTTTAATTCAGGTTTTTGAATCTATGAATTCAGAATTTAGATGAGATCAGATTTTATGGGTTAACTTAGAACAGCAATGGAAATGGCAATTGTGAGTAAGAAATGTAGGTTCTACATTTTTTCATTTTAATTTTCTTCTCTTTTCGTTTGAGTGGGATGGGTTCTGTTTATTTTTGACCAATATAGGCGCGAAGCTGATAAATTACTTTTAACTTCTTGATTAATTTTTTTAATTTGTAGGAGAGGAGAGAATCAATTCCGTGTCATATCATCTCTTAATCTTCATTCCTAAATTATTTCATGCTCCATCAAGCGTTGATGAATATTTTGAAATTCTGTTTTAAAAGAGTAAAGAAAAATTTTTTTAAAAAAATAAATAAGATAACGCTTAATGAAAGTTTCTCTTTGTACCCTTAGGTTACTTTTTCTCCAAAGGTTAGTTTTGGTAGTTTGTTAAAGAATGGAACAAGTCATACTAATTGAAATTGTAAGTAACTTAATCTCAGCAAAGGCACTTGCGTTGTCACAGGCACTGTGGGGCAAGAATTATCACAAATAGAAGTATATTTACATATTTTACTATGGGATGCTTATCGCTTTCTTCAGTAGGTATCAAAAGAAATAAAATGAACTAAATCTTGAGGAGCAGTCTTCCCGGTCAATTAAGGTTTAGTTCATGGATGCTTCAATTTATCTGATGAAGGAGCGAGTTAAAGGTATAAAAAGGTTTGAAAAATATTTTTGCTGATTTCAAAACTTTGTTTGAATTAATTTGAAACGAGGATTGAGGAGAAACTGTTCATTTCATGCTTAATGTTGGTGTATGAAATGAAGTTAAACAGAGTTTTAATAGAAGATAGTAAAGAATGTCAAAATTAGACTTATGACCAAATCGCAGTGTACATCTTGAAAGCCAGTTAGCCTCCCTCTGTGACATGCCCTTTGCTATTCTTTCAGTCGCAGCAATCAGTTTTGCACTATCAGCTTCTTTTTATGAATTTCGGAATGCATTTGTTGCCATCACGATAGACAACTGAAACTGATCGTCATATCAACTTTTTTATGCCACCATTTGCTAATTTGGATCATTCGCTTTATGTTGCCTCCTTCAGAATCTGCTTTCACGTTTTTTGTTTGAGTCTTGAAATGCATGCTCTGTGTTGTTCCCAATTTTTCCAAGCTAGCAATTTATTTGTTTTTGCAGCGTTCAGCTTTGATATGTAATGTTAAATTATATCACTTTTTTTAAATTATTATTTATTTTTTTGTTTGGAAGTCAAAGGATTATTTTATAGAACTTCTGCTGCATTTGTTTCCTCAACAATTTTTTTCGGAAGCAAACTACTTTCAGTGCAGTTTCCACTTTGCATGATAAGTACTTTGAGCACCTTCAAAGTTTCCTTTTTTTAAATAAAAATTTCTAGGTATTCCAAAATACCATTGGTTTGCCTACAAACTTTGCAGAGTAAATGATAGCTGTTCATAGAGTATCAGGTTTTTTTTTTTTTGTTTTTTTTGTCTTTCTATGTCCCTACTGAAGTTTTACAAGTTATAATATGACCTAATAACACCTTAAGGTCAGGTTGAGACCATTTGTTCAAGAATTCAGTCAATTTTTAAGTAAAACGGATAGGGGTCTTCGAATGAATCCTTGCCGTAAGATATGGATCACTACTTGTTTCAAAATATGGATACACTCTGATAAGGCCTCTCAGTGCTCTTATTGGGATTTATTGAGCGGATTTATTGGAACGGTGCGAGATTCTAGTCAAAGTATTGTTGTTTAGTATGAAAGTCTTTTGGGTTGCTTGGCCGTAAAACTGATGTACATGACAACAGCTTATTTTTTCCAGCTCCAAAAACTCTTGATACCCATCATTTAGGAGCTTCTCGTCATTACTATTTTTAACGGAACTGTTTCATTAGCTTACTGTAAACTGATGGGACCCCTCTGATAATGAATGGAGAGAGGACAAATTTAAGGATGGAACTTTATTTCCTCCCTCAATCTGTGTGTATCCACCGGTCGCATAATAGTTCTTACGTTGTTGAATATTTTATTATATAATAAACAATTAGCCGTGAACAATTTTTTAAAAAAGGTCGCTAAGAAAATTAAATTTTCGTTCTTTCCATTTGCTTTATACATTTTGCTAATTTATTTCAGGTAAGAATGGTGAAAGTGTATTATCCCAACTGGGAACCTGGTTATTATTAAAGAGTGCCTTGCTGATGGTTCCACCGCCGGCTCTTCTGTTGATTTTATGTTTTAAGTATTTTTTAATGAATCATTGTATGATTTCTTTGTTGTAATTTCTTAATTCTGTTTTGCTTTAAGCTTGCTCTTTCCTGTTTTATTATACATTATTCTTCTCTCTCGTTTCTTCCCCATCCTTAATTCTTGTTTTCTTCTTTTTTCTTCATTAATTTATGTTTAGTCATTAAATGAATCTATGTGATAGTTTATAAGAAGATCCCTTCTTTTTTATATGAAAAGAAAACAAAATTATACTTCCTTAAACCCAGGCTCAAGTTATTTTCCTCCTTTTCATCAAAAATATTGAAGGATTGTGAAAATGTAACGAGCAAAATGCAACTCAGTATTGATTTTATATCAGCATGTTGTTGAATGATTGCTTATATTTTTGCCTTATTCTTTAAAATCATACTCTTTTCTAGGTATTGTATTTAAAGGTTTTTGATTGTGGAAGCTTAGAATAGCCGTAGAAGTTACACTATTATCCGTGGATTTTCTTCTTTGAGAAATATTCCTTACTGGCAAAAGTCTTCTGTACTTTTTACAATATGCTTTGTGTTCGTTTGGTTTTTGCTTTTACCTTTTTTATTCTTTTGTTTGAGGGAACGAACGCTAAAAGCTCGACAATCAGTATAAGCTTCCTTTCTACCAGCCATAGTCAATTTTATGGCTTTGATTGTAATTCACGTCAAAATTTTTTGATAAACCTAATAATTGAATGCCATTGGTCAGACTTCTCCTCCTTTTATTAGTTTTGGTTTTCCAAAGTACTCAGGTTCAATGGCGCTTTTTCTCCACTATTGATCTTATTTGTCGCTATCAATGTACGTTTCATACTTTTTTAAAAAGTAGAGTAGTGTATCCAGTTTCTTTTCTTAAAATTTATATGGGTACGTAGGTAATATATTTTTCAGTCTCTTAGTTTTCAAGGAGATTTATCAAGATTAAAATTCATATGTCAAAAAGAAAGCTCAAACTGAAAAAATGTGAAGCACTAAATATTCCATCATAATTATTATTTTATCGTATCTATGCTTCGAAAGGGCATCATTATTTCTTCTGGGGCATCAGTGGATAACGCTTCCTGGTCTTATACTAATAAGTTAAGCATTTAAGATAGTGAGATTTTCAATTGAGTTTGCCAGAACAACAAACATTACCAGAGGTAGTGGGGCAGGCATGTATGAAATCGATGAAAACTCCTAATTTAAAGTCTGCTTTAATCAGTGCCTAAATCAAACTTTTTAGGTAAACTAAACAAGGATTTTCCTTTCTTCAAAAGTAAAACCATATGAGAAGAGTTACTGTATTCCTACTCTTAAAATAATATCTTAAATTGGACGTATACTTTGTGCCTAGAGAGTCGATCCAGCTCTCTAGTAATTAAAATGAAAGTTTAGGCTCCAGTCCAATCAACGGCTCAAAATTTTTTTCTTTTTGTCTCTTCACTTATCAGTGAATTTGAATATGAATTTCAAATTTCTGCTAAGTAAGAGGGAAAATCAGTAGAGAACTCTGGTTCATCTACTTCGATAGTCAATTTTATCATGGTTTTGTTATACTATATGAAGGCCACTATTATTAAATAGTAAAATAGTAGTCCTTTTTTATCAAACCCTTTTTTTAATTAAAAAAAAAGAATTAATTCCTCTACCAATATGAATGTATAAATACAAATAAAACAGGAAGCATTATTAATGTGGCCATATTAAGGTAATCAACTGCTGTTAACGTCTCAAACGACATGAATTATTCTACCAAAAGCCACTCTTACATTATCTGCATAATGCAAAGTTAAAAATTATGAAAAAGTGTTATTATGGTCATAGTAGGTTTTGAATAACCTTTATAATAACTCTGGAAGAATTTAAAATTGTGAGAGTAATAATTGTATAAAGAATTCGATCTCACAATAAGAGATATCAGAAATTCTGCGTTATGTTCGATGAATCAATCTATGTAAGAAATGGATCGTCTGTCAATGAGCAGAGTGTTAGCTGTTGCCATGAGCCATTTATCGAAGCCTCCTCTGTCTTGATGGCTTTCAGGTAAGTTTCTAAAAAAAGCAATGACTGATCTGCAGTTCAAATAGTAATCCTTTACCGCCTGCTATCATCTTGTCTTGTGAATTTTGAATGGGACAAACTTCAATGTCAATATACTTGTAGCAGTTGCATTGGTAGGATTCAGCCTAACATTTGACAA